AACTCGGTCAAAACTCATCCGATTTCCACGAGGTTTGGCTTTTTATTCATGGTTTTCCCTCTTAAATAATCTGGCATTAAAACCTGAACACCCATTTTTTGGTCGAAATTCATGTCCAAATCTTACCCCAACATTCGTATATAGACATGGGTCAAAATTTCCCATCCCCATAACTCGGTCAAAACTCATCCGATTTCCATGAGGTTTGGCTTTTTATTCATGGTTTTCCCTCTAGATTAATCTGGCATTAAAACCTGAACACCCATTTTTTGGTTGAAATTCATGTTCAAATCTTACCCCAACATTCGTACATAGACATGGGTCAAAATTTCCCATCCCCATAACTCGGTCAAAACTCATCCGATTTCCACGAGGTTTGGCTTTTTATTCATGGTGTTCCCTCTAAAACAATCTGGCATTAAAACCTGAACACCCATTTTTTGGTCGAAATTCATGTTCAAATCTTACCCCAACATTCGTACATAGACATGGGTCAAAATTTCCCATCCCCATAACTCGGTCAAAACTCATCCGATTTCCACGAGGTTTGGCTTTTTATTCATGGCTTTCCCTCTAAAATAATCTGGCATTAAAACCTGAACACCCATTTTTTGGTCGAAATTCATGTCCAAATCTCACCCCAACATTGGTATATGGGCATGGGTCAAAATTTCCCATCCCCATAACTCGGTCAAAGCTCATCCGATTTCCACGAGGTTTGGCTTTTTATTCATGGTTTTCCCTCTTAAATAATCTGGCATTAAAACCTGAACACCCATTTTTTGGTCGAAATTCATGTCCAAATCTTACCCCAACATTCGTATATAGACATGGGTCAAAATTTCCCATCCCCATAACTCGGTCAAAACTCATCCGATTTCCACGAGGTTTGGCTTTTTATTCATGGTTTTCCCTCTAAAATAATCTGGCGTTAAAACCTGAACACACATTTTTTGGTCGAAATTCATGTCCAAATCTTACCCCAACATTCGTATATAGACATGGGTCAAAATTTCCCATCCCCATAACTCGGTCAAAACTCATCCGATTTCCATGAGGTTTGGCTTTTTATTCATGGTTTTCCCTCTAGATTAATCTTGCATTAAAACCTGAACACCCATTTTTTGGTCGAAATTCATGTCCAAATCTCACCCCAACATTGGTATATGGGCATGGGTCAAAATTTCCCATCCCCATAACTCGGTCAAAACTCATCCGATTTCCACGAGGCTTGGCTTTTTATTCATGGTTTTCCCTCTAAAATAATCTAGCATTAAAACTTGAACACCCATTTTTTGGTCGAAATTCATGTCCAAATCTCACCCCAACATTCGTATATGGGCATGGGTCAAAATTTCCCATCCCCATAACTCGGTCAAAACTCATCCGATTTCCACGAGGCTTGGCTTTTTATTCATGGTTTTCCCTCTAAAATAATCTAGCATTAAAACTTGAACACCCATTTTTTGGTCGAAATTCATGTCCAAATCTTATCCCAACATTCGTATATAGACATGGGTCAAAATTTCTCATCCCCATAACTCGGTCAAAACTCATCCGATTTCCATGAGGTTTGGCTTTTTATTCATGGTTTTCCCTCTAGATTAATCTTGCATTAAAACCTGAACACCCATTTTTTGGTCGAAATTCATGTCCAAATCTCACCCCAACATTCGTATATGGGCATGGGTCAAAATTTCCCATCCCCATAACTCGGTCAAAACTCATCCGATTTCCATGAGGTTTGGCTTTTTATTCATGGTTTTCCCTCTAGATTAATCTTGCATTAAAACCTGAACACCCATTTTTTGGTCGAAATTCATGTCCAAATCTCACCCCAACATTGGTATATGGGCATGGGTCAAAATTTCCCATCCCCATAACTCGGTCAAAACTCATCCGATTTTCACGAGGTTTGGCTTTTTATTCATGGCTTTCCCTCTAAAATAATCTGGCATTAAAACCTGAACACCCATTTTTTGGTCGAAATTCATGTCCAAATCTCACCCCAACATTGGTATATGGGCATGGGTCAAAATTTCCCATCCCCATAACTCGGTCAAAACTCATCCGATTTCCACGAGGTTTGGCTTTTTATTCATGGTTTTCCCTCTTAAATAATCTGGCATTAAAACCTGAACACCCATTTTTTGGTCGAAATTCATGTCCAAATCTTACCCCAACATTCGTATATAGACATGGGTCAAAATTTCCCATCCCCATAACTCGGTCAAAACTCATCTGATTTCCACGAGGTTTGGCTTTTTATTCATGGTTTTCCCTCTAAAATAATCTGGCGTTAAAACCTGAACACCCATTTTTTGGTCGAAATTCATGTCCAAATCTTACCCCAACATTCGTATATAGACATGGGTCAAAATTTCCCATCCCCATAACTCGGTCAAAACTCATCCGATTTCCATGAGGTTTGGCTTTTTATTCATGGTTTTCCCTCTAGATTAATCTTGCATTAAAACCTGAACACCCATTTTTTGGTCGAAATTCATGTCCAAATCTAACCCCAACATTGGTATATGGGCATGGGTCAAAATTTCCCATCCCCATAACTCGGTCAAAACTCATCCGATTTCCATGTGGTTTGGCTTTTTATTCATGGTTTTCCCTCTAGATTAATCTTGCATTAAAACCTGAACACCCATTTTTTGGTCGAAATTCATGTCCAAATCTCACCCCAACATTCGTATATGGGCATGGGTCAAAATTTCCCATCCCCATAACTCGGTCAAAACTCATCCGATTTCCACGAGGCTTGGCTTTTTATTCATGGTTTTCCCTCTAAAATAATCTAGCATTAAAACTTGAACACCCATTTTTTGGTCGAAATTCATGTCCAAATCTTATCCCAACATTCGTATATAGACATGGGTCAAAATTTCTCATCCCCATAACTCGGTCAAAACTCATCCGATTTCCATGAGGTTTGGCTTTTTATTCATGGTTTTCCCTCTAGATTAATCTTGCATTAAAACCTGAACACCCATTTTTTGGTCGAAATTCATGTCCAAATCTCACCCCAACATTCGTATATGGGCATGGGTCAAAATTTCCCATCCCCATAACTCGGTCAAAACTCATCCGATTTCCACGAGGTTTGGCTTTTTATTCATGGTTTTCCCTCTAAAATAATCTGGCATTAAAACCTGAACACCCATTTTTTGGTCGAAATTCATGTCCAAATCTCACCCCAACATTGGTATATGGGCATGGGTCAAAATTTCCCATCCCCATAACTCGGTCAAAACTCATCCGATTTCCACGAGGTTTGGCTTTTTATTCATGGTTTTCCCTCTTAAATAATCTGGCATTAAAACCTGAACACCCATTTTTTGGTCGAAATTCATGTCCAAATCTTACCCCAACATTCGTATATAGACATGGGTCAAAATTTCCCATCCCCATAACTCGGTCAAAACTCATCCGATTTCCACGAGGTTTGGCTTTTTATTCATGGTTTTCCCTCTAAAATAATCTGGCGTTAAAACCTGAACACCCATTTTTTGGTCGAAATTCATGTCCAAATCTCACCCCAACATTGGTATATGGGCATGGGTCAAAATTTGCCATCCCCATAACTCGGTCAAAACTCATCCGATTTCCATGAGGTTTGGCTTTTTATTCATGGTTTTCCCTCTAGATTAATCTTGCATTAAAACCTGAACACCCATTTTTTGGTCGAAATTCATGTCCAAATCTCACCCCAACATTCGTATATGGGCATGGGTCAAAATTTCCCATCCCCATAACTCGTCCGTCTGTCTGTTGAAATTTTAGATGTAGGTGCTCCTAGTGCCTGCGCAGATCGAGTTCCGAGAATCGATAACTTACTCCGTTTCCAAGCAACCGATAAATCGATAATCGATATCGATATTATGTTTTTTGGGCAATTTTGGTAAATAATAAGAGCTAGAGTCACCAAACTTGACATATAGCTTCTAGAATAGTATATATATATGCATTTGATGTTGGAAGAAGAGGGTTCAGGGTATTCCCTAGTCGGGAGCTCCCGACTAGTACCTCTAACTTGTTTTTTTTTTTTTTTTTTTGTGTGTCGCGTATTTCACATTACAATTGAAATTGTATAATTTTATACGCATATGCATAGAACGTGTTTGGCATTTCAAAAACTGGAAAGACCTGAGCTGAGAAGGGCACTCGAAAAACCCCAACATATATCTAAAAACAATTATAAGTATAAATACTTGAACACATTTGCCTAATGAAAATTGTTTGCCTAGCGCTAACTATTCCCAGAGGAATATAGACGAATAGACGATTAAAATTGTAACTGAAATAATAGTTAATTTAATTGCTCGGGGGAAGTCGTAAAATTGTTGCCAAGGCGTTCAAGGTGATCATTTGTAGATCAGATTCAGTTGATGCATACGTAAATAGGCAACAATTATTGGGATAGATCAATCAACTGATTGAGGTCAAGTTGAATTGGAGAAAGTCTGGGGAAAAGATGTGTGCATATTTTGGGTTCATTTTTGAACTAGTTCCAAATTATGCAAAAATACAAATTTGAATTTAGTTTTAGTTTATCTAGAACCCAAATAAACGTAGCTTAAATTAAGATTATCAGGAAAAATGTTGCAATTTAAATTATTGGTTTAATTTTTGAACTAGTTCATTTTGAATTTGCAAAAATGCAATAAATTGTAATTTAAATAGAAATCTGTGTGCCGAATTGTTTAGTTTAATATTTAACTTTGATAATTGGGTCATAAATTAAGGTTACAAGAAAAAGATTCAACTTTGAATTATTTTTAATGAATGGAGCAAGTAATTTGTCAAATGCAATTTTTAACGCTCTTTTATTGCCAGTTTATGAACAAGAGTTTAGCTGTGTTAATTAAACCATTAAAAGCAGTAAAAACGTTTTAATATGTCATGGCATTAGACATTTTATGAAACGCACCAAGTGTAGAAATAATGTAAAATGCAAAGAAATTTGGTAATTAAAATATATATATATTTACCTGTGTACGCTGAATTGATCGAACTCAAATTGTCATCGCTTTCACGACTCATAATGTTTGTATCTAAAAATAAAACCGAATAACGTATAACGGAAGCAGAAAAAAAAGAAAGAAAATACAAAAGTCAGGCAAATGAACATAATAAAATAACAATATAACAAATAACAATAAATGATATATGAAGAGCACATGCTGACCACGAGAATAACAAAAGGCAAATTATATTGAAATTAAAGCTACTTACGACCCACAAAAGGGAGCTAAAGGCAGCCAATATTTCAGAGTTTCATGCGATATTCAGGCCAAAGCAACTGCCCAGCTGCCAGCTAATTGGCCAAGAAAGCAAACGGCGGCGGCGGCACAACAACAAAAAGCCAAAATGTGCAAATAGCAATTAGTAGCCGGTAAAATTACTGACTCCAACTCGATACATATTGTTGTTCGTCGAGAGTATGTGTGTGTGTGTGTGTGTGTTTGTTTGAGTGTGGGCTGGGACAAGCGCAGTTAACAAATTGCACAGTTAAGCGCAGTTAAGTTATATAAACAACGCGCTCGCTGAGATAACCAGCCAGCGTTAAACAGGTGAATGTAGCGCAGCTAAAAATATACTTATTATGCATGTCAATCGAAGATAAAGAAACATCTTAAATATACTCAAACTGAGTCAAAGATACTTCAAGATCTTGCAGATAGTCAAGGTAGGTCTACAACGAAAATCAAAGATTCTGAAAAATACTCAGTTAAACAACAGAGAGCAATAGTCAATTTATGATACTTATATATGTATCTTATAGATACTCACTTAACTCCCTTAAGCAAATATACTTTATACCTTTTAGATACTCAAGTTGATTTACAGCCAACAGCTGAAATATCTTTCATATACTCAGGTGACAGCCAGCGATAGTCAATTGAAGATACTTTGGGATGCATCTTAGAGATACTAAAGACGAGTTAAATATCTTGCAGATACTCAGGTAGATCTACAGGCAACGAAAGTAAATCAAGGATGCTGAAACATTCCTCAGATACTCAGTTAGGCGACGACAGCCAGCAAAAGTCAATTGAAGATACCTAAATATGTATCCTATAGATACTCAAAGTGGGTCTAAGATACTTAAATATCTTTCAGATATTCAAGCTAGGTCTACGGCCAACGAAATGCTATTGAAGATACCAAAATAACTTTCAAAATCCTAGTTAGGCGACAGGGAGCACTACTCAATTAAAGGTACTGATATATGTATCTTATAGATACTTAAAGCTAGTCGTGACACTCTGCCCCGTCCCGTCTTTTGCATCTGTCTGTGGGGTGATCCATCACCTTTAACTGAAACTCGTTTCAGCGATCGATACTAGCCACAATTTTAATGACCTATTAAAAACGTCAGTGCGAATCTCCAAAATCAACTAAAATCACAGCGCGTCAGCAAAACGTTGCCCGGCTTTTGACATTTGCCGGCAATTTACGGCGTGAATTCGTTACGTGTACTGAAAAAATGGACACTCGAAAGATGCCGGCAAATTGCAAATTGAAGATGTACACAATTGAGTTGTACTTAGTATTTGCAGATGAAAGGTGCATGACATTGTTGCTGACTGATTGACAGATTGCAATCAGTGATTCTTAGCCCTAATATTTTGTAACATGCATTGATATTAACTAGAAAGTTGTCTACCTTTTATATCTAGTTAATTTAATCCAACTTTCCTATGGAATACTGGGTATCTGCTGCATGACAGGTTGAAGATCAATGCAAATTCACCTCAACTAGGGAAAAACAAGTGATTTTCACATTAATAAAGAACTCTTTCGACCTAATTTTCAGTAAACTGTTTACCTTTTGCAACTCTTTTATGGAAAACTGTTTACTGGGTATCCGCTAGTCGTGCACTGTTCGCTTGCAGCATTCCTCATAATTTTCAAGCTGAATAATTAACAACAAAATGCGGCACGACAGTTTGCAGAGTAAACAAATGAGCTAAAGCAGCAAAACAAGCGCTGAATATAGAATTCAAGATGTTTGGTTTTTGGCTTTTTGCTTTGCTTAACTGATCGAACATTAATAATAATAATAATAATGAATGTACGGCTCAATAGATGGGCCAACAGTTGCCGCGTGTCTCTCCGGATTGAGAGAGAAACAAAAAACAACTTAATTACGCTTTGCGTTTTATGCCAAAATTATGAAAAGAGCCTTCAAATTTGGCCAAATACAATTAAGAGTCGCAGTAATTTGCTTCTTTTGGCCCGGTAGCCATAAATAATCGCAAAAAAATATATAATTATTTTTTTTATTTTTGTTGCTTAAATTGTGTTACAAATTATGCAACCTACACGCAATTGAAAGTCGCTTTTGGGTTGGGCATTCGATTAACTATCTGTGGGCGTTCGGCATGTTGTTTTTAACTGTTATTGGAGTATCTCGGGGCAAAGTATTAGCTGAATTTTGTAATTGATTGAGCACGTGCAAATTGAACTGTGAACTATAAACTCTCACATTATAAAGCTAAACGGCTAGGAAAGTTGCTGTAGAAATTAAATTACAATTTTTTCAGCTTTTTCTCTCGTACATCTATTTGTTTATTATTAAACAGAGATGTACTTAGAAGTTGCCCGGGGCTGGCAGCACTTAGCAGCATGTTAAATGGAACTTTGGAGTGCCACATTTGATTATTGCAAAAAGCTGCGACAGGGCCTTTTGTTTGTGTTTCGGTAAGTGACACGTTAATTTATTTGTCTGTCTGTCTGTGCCTTAGAACAATATCGCATTCGCATTCGAAATAATTAAAAGCACTCAAGTGTGCACGAATGAAAAAATAAAACCATTTGCAAGCGATTAAAATGCTTGTTTAATGGACACTATTTGCACGGGGTACGCACCTGAGGCTCTTTTAAGCCGGCGAAGTAGCTGGAGCATGAAACAGGTAAAGGAAGTAAATGGGAGAGATATCTCTACCAATGTCTACCAATGTCTAAGCAAGTGTTACAAAAATACTGCTGGGTCTGCCTTCCTACTCCCAATTTCCCTACTCCCATACTTCCCTACCCCCTACCCACTACTCCCTACTCCCTACCCTCTACTCCCTACTCCCACACTCCCTATCTCCACCAATGTTAAAGCAAGTGTTACAAAAAGACTGTTGGGTCTGCTTTCCAACTCCCAACACCCCTACTCCCAACTTCTTGCTACCTACTGCCTACTCCCTACTCCCCTACTCCCCTACTCACCACTGCCTACTCCCAAATCCCCACTCTCTTCTTCCTACTCCATACTCCCAACGCCCCTACTCCCAACTCCCGACTCACTGCTTCCAACTTCCATACTCTAAGTTTTAGTTTTGTAGACTGCCAACAGCTTTGGCCGGTTGGTCCAAAGCATAACGAACGCGTATTACATACAAGCTCAGAGGTTTATAACTGATTAGTAGACAGGTGGATGGCCAACTCTTTGTCGAATCGGCGTGGAAAACAAAGTTAGTGGCCTTAATGGGTTTGTTTGCGCCGCTTAGAACTTTTTGGCCAGAAAGGCAGCGAAGCGAAAAAACCAAATAAATAAGTAAAAAATCTTGTACGAATGATATTTCAGTTTTGGGCAAAAGTTATGACAACATGCGAGCCGAAATAATTAAATGCCATTTCATGAGCCGCACTTATGCAAACTAAATCCCGAACGTCCAAACGCGGCGGCTCATAAAAATTAATTAACCAAATGCGGCAGAAGCCGAATATGCTGCCAAAAAGCAACTGTAATTGAAGTACAGGTGCTGAGAAAAATAAGTAAAAGCTGCCGGCGGAAAAGGCAACAAAAAAAAGATTGGTGTGTGTAAAGTGCAATTAGCAAGCGACTTGATTGCCATAATGTGCCAGCCCAGGTGGCAATTAAACAGTCGTCAGTTATTTATGGCAAGCAATATGCAGCAATGCAGGCGAATGGTGCGTATGCGCAATGGGCAGCAGATATATTACTCATACGCCACCTACGCGGATGCGCAATGGAATTCTAGAACAAATACAAACTGAGCTAAGCTGAGCTGAGCTCATTGCGCCAAAATGGCTACAGAAAACTAAATAACAACAATAATAAACAAATATGTAAACAAACTGCTCGAAATGACGCCAGATTCTATTGTTGTATTTCACACAATTTAACGACTAACCCATAAAGAACACGCCAAATAAATGATGATGCTACCAATATATGATATGGTTTCACATAGTCCAGTCCGGGGATGGGTTTATCGAACGCTCACAAATATGGCGAATGCCTTGTAACATCTGCGCCCACAACTTGCCGCACAGCTGCCTTTTCAATTTTTGTCAAATAAATATCTAATTGGTTCGCTTGCAGTTGTGTAAGCGGGCGGCAGGTGACGGGGGGCATGGCCAGTACGCTCCGTCATCGTAAGGCTAGTTATATAAAATATATTTAACAATTGAAAGCAAACACAAACTTTTGATATCTTTTTGTTTATCTTAATGCCGCATTGGCTTTAACTATTTGAAGCTCCCTAATTCTATGCTGTCAATTGTTAATAGCCATAATTTAAAAAAGTTTGATTTCAGTTTTAAACTTGAATTTGTAAACAATTCCAAAGGCAAACAAACTGTGTTTGCATATTAATGGATCAAATTGGGTTTGAACCAGCTACACAACCAGTTCATAAACATTTTTATCATTTTTTTTTTATGCACTGAGCCCATTAAAAATGGGTATAAGGGTATATTGTATTTGTGCAAAATCCGAATGTATGTAACAAGCAGAAGGAAGCATCTCCGACCCCACAAAGTATATATATTCTTGATCAGCACCAAGAGCCGAGTCGATCTAGCCATGTCCGTCTGTCTGTCCGTCCGTCTGTTGAAATTTTAGATGTAGGTGCTTCTAGTGCCTGCGCAGATCGAGTTTGTTTTCGATAATCAATAAATTACCTCGTTTCCATCGATAATCGATAAAATCGATATCGATATCCTGTTTTTTGGGCAATTTTGGTAAATAATAAGAGCAAGAGTCACCAAACTTGACTTCTAAAATAGAATGCATTTGATGTTGGAAGTAGAG